CGACCACCAGGCCCCGACACCCTCCCGGAAGTTTCTGGCAACGCTCGCCCTCCGAGGAGCCCTTGCCAGGCACCGCGGCCGTGGGCCCTGACGCCCTCGCACTGACGCCACGGCGAGATTTTTTTATTTTTTTTTTTGTTGTCTTGTTTTGTTGTGTGTGTTTTTGTTTTTTTTTGTTTTGTTTTGTCTCCGTCCGCAGCGCCATCCAGACGCAGCCCTGCTATGATGCAGACGTGGCACGGCAGAGACGACCACTGCCGGTGGCTTCGCACCACTGGTTGCCGCGGCGGGAGGTTGTTGGCGGCGTTCGGTCCCCAGGGGGCCTTTGCAAGGCCCCAAAGCCGTCCATAAAGAATAGCTCGGGGCGAAAAGCTTGTCCCTGGGACGGGATCCAGATCACCGTAAAACCACGTCGTGAAAGCATCACATCGCTGGGTTGGACGAGAGAGCGAACCAGACATCGGGCGCCTCCAGGCCACCGAAACTACATGCTTTGCTTCTTGTCCACAACTTGGGCCTTCAGAATTATGAACCCCTTTCCTGGGGACTGGCTTATCTTCCTGGGCCGTTTCTTGTCTGTCCTCCCTCCTCCCCCCTCCTCTCATCCATCTTACTCCCTCTGTGCCTCCTCCCTGCTCCCAGACATCGGGGGCCGTTTTCTTTCGCAGCGCGTGCCCCCAAACGCAGAAAGGTCTGGGCCCCCAAAACCTCTCGTCGCGACTTCTCCGCGACGCGAGGATGCCAGGGTACCTTGGGGGCACGTCGCTATCTGAGCCGAGGCTGCGGGGACATGATCGCGGCCTCCAGGCCTGCTGAAACAGGGTACACGTTCACCCTGTCTATGAATATCGTTTAACCGATCCCCATCCCCAGCGGCGTGGCCTGGGCCCCACTGGCCGATTTACCCCCCTAGATGGGGATATAGGCCGTCCCCTTCGGGTTTCGAGGGGTGTATCCCGAACTGGAGTGGTGATTTGGTGGGCGTCTCGGGGATGGAAATTAGTTAAACGATGCCGAGTTTAGTTGTCTGGCTGCACGCGGGTACATACTTGGCGTTGTTGCCGTCGTGCCTTCACAACTCCCGGTTTCGTGTGTCAACGTCTTCAGCCGCGCAGCCGCGCTTCCCACGCTCTGTGTGCGCCTGCTCTCCTTAAGACTTCTGCCTTGGCGATAAAACCTGGTAATCTCCTCCCCCCCAAGAGATCCCTGAAGCGAATCGATAAGCCAGATCGGCGATCGAAACAAATCTGACGGCTGGAATCGGAAGCCAAGTCGGGAGAAGTCGAATCGGCGGAAATCGGCAGGCTACTCAGGCCCCCGCGGAGAAACCGAAGCCCGACTCGGCCTCCGAAACCGAGCACACATCGGAATCGGAACCGATCTGACTCGAATCGAGCCGGGTCGGAGGCGTGGAAATGCGCCCTGTCCTGGTGAGCCCCTTCTCCCCAACCTTCACACTTCCCTCCCCCCCTTCCTCCCCCCCTCCTCCTCCTCCTCCTCCTCCTCTTGCTCCTGCTCCTCCTCCTCCTCCTCCTCCTCCTCCTCCTCCTCCTTCCCCCCTCTCTGCAGCAGCATCCCCCCCCCCCCCAGCGGACCAGACCACCGGCCCCACGGGTCCCCGCTGGGGGGCGCCTCGGGCTCCGGCTCCGGCCGCGTCCTGGCCAGGGAGGGGCCTCGTCATCCCTCCTCCTCCTCCTCCTCCTCCTCCTCCTCCTCCTCCTCCTCCTCCTCATCCTCCTCCTCGTCCTCCTACTCCTGCTCCTCCTCCTGCTCCTGCTCCTCCTCCTCCTCCTCCTCCTCCTCCTCCTCCTCCTCCTCGTCCTCCTGCTCCTGCTCCTGGATGGCGGGGTGCTTCGGGGCTACCACTCTGGCTGAGCTGCTGCTGCTGCTGCTGCTGCTGCTGCTGCTGCTGCTGCTGCTGCTGCTGCTGCTGCTACTGCTGCTGCTGCGCCAGATCCTCCGCACGCAGCAGAATCGGCCGAAACATTTGATGCGCAATGTCGTGGACAATGTGGCGCTGCAGGCTTGCGGGCGCCCAGTGCAGGCGGCTTCTATTCTAGCTGAGGCACTCGACCAGTTGTTCGCCAGCTTCCAGGAGATTCCAAGAGCTGACGCTGCGCGTCAACGTCAAGAAACGAGGCACATGTGCACCCGTGAGGTCGAAGATCATGCTGCTGCAAGGTGGTGCCGACCCCCCACGCCGAAGGTCGAGCATGCTCGGCACTTGGGGACGGAGGCAACGCTGGGAGGAGTTCGCAGGAGGGAGTCGCCGTCGGCGCGGAGAACATCGTAATCCACGCCGAGCCACACGGGCAGTGCGTCGGCGATGCGGCGCGATCATCCGACCCCATCTGCTGTGGCCCCATCTAAGACAGAACTCCGACGACATGGTTTTTGCAATCGCGGCTTGCTCCGCTCATTTCGACCTCCTCGATCGGGGCGAGCAGGGCCAAGCTCATCGCTGCGGGCTCTCTCGATCCAGGCGGCTCCGACTTCTGAGGGGGGGCCAGCCCGGACGTGGCCCCCGGTGCGGCGCCATGGGGCCCACGGCGGCAGCCCTGTGGGGCAGCAGCCTCTCTGGCAGTTCTCCGACGGCCCCGTGTGGGCTGCGGGCCGTCTGCGGCCCACGAAGACTCGCCGCCACCCACAGGGCGCGTCCGCGGGGACTCGGCTGCACTCGAGTCGCTTGGGGGAGCTCGCACTCGGGGTCGCCCTCGGTCGCGTGGTGGTGCTCATGCCCTTGGCGGTCGCCCAGTCCAGCAGATCCTCGGCGTACTCGTACTGAGAGGCCAGCCAGGTGACGAATTTCTACGCCCAGCCTCTTGAGTCAGTCTCCTTCCCACTGAAGCTTGCTGGCTTCTGCACTGCCCTGCTGTCGATCATGGACCCGTTGAGGGCCTGCACGGGCCATGCGGCCTTCCGATGGGCTGCTGCTGTTAGGGACAGTGCCGATGCGGCCGTGCTTCGAGCGAGCTCGAAGAGGCACCCGTGGCAGGGAGCTGCCACGCCCGCGGACGTTGCCATCCTCACACTTCAGCGCATCGAGCGAAAGCTTCGGGATTTCTGGACTGTTGAGACCGACTAAGTAAGGCCAAGCCTGGAATCTGCCTTGTAGTTGCAAGGTCACGCCCTAATGCGCTGCGAGATCGAATCCCCTCAGTGAACTGGCGAGACCTCAGGTTACGTACTGTGTTCGGTGAGGTGCCTGTTGTGAGGGTATCAGGCCTGGGCAGCTCCTGATGTCATGGTGCAAGGGGCACCCTCGCTCGCCTCAGGTCACAAGGCAGCTGCAGCGAACCAGAGGTGGGAAGCGCCCACACGGCCGAGCCACTGCTGCGCATCTGTCTTTGAGTAGCTCCCGTGGTCCGGGCGAGGCGGAGCAGGATCTCTTGACAGCTCGGGTCCCCCGCCTGCCCCCTCCGCGCCCGCGGGGATGAGCCAAACACGGCCAGGTCTCGCCTCCCGGGCCGCTGGCGTGCGGCCTCGTGGAGGGCGGCCTCTGCATGGTCGAGGCCCTGGGCGAGGCTGCCAGGCATTCTCCTTAAGGATCTGGCGGATGAGGGATCCTCCGATTATGATGGCGAGGTTTGTTTTAGTTTTCTGTCTCACTTGAGGTCGCTCAAAGGTACCCTCATCCTGCTCCTTCCCCGTCCTGCTCGTCCTAAGTGGGGGAAACGGGCCAGAATGGAGAGGCGGCAAGGGGAGGCAGGGGGTGGGGTAAGGGGGCACGGTGAAGGTGGAACTGAGCAGCGGGGTAGGAAAAGGAAAAGAGGAGGGAGGATGGGGAGAGGGAGAGAGGGCGCGAGAGAGAGGAAGGAAAAGGGGAGCGAGGAGGAGGAGGAGGAGGAGGCGGGGGAACAGCACATGGAGAGGTCCCCGAGGTGCTTGGCGTGGATTGTGAAGAGGGGGAAGGGGAGATGCTTGATGATGGGTGCAGGAGGGGGGCCTGGTAAGGGCAGTTGTTTGGGGGCGAGAGGGGGAGGGGGGGCAGGAGAACTCGTTATGGAGGACCACGAGGAAGTGGAGCGCCGCCAGAAACGCGTGAGAGGAGTGAGAAGGGCCGGGAAGAGACGGCAGGACAAAGAGAAGAGTGTGCAGGACAAGAGACGGCAGGACAAGAGGGCAGAGGATGAGAAGGGAGTGTGGCAGGACAAAGACAACGAGGACGAAGGGCAAAAATGTAGGGGAGTGGAGGGTGGAGCGGTCGCGAGGGGCGTGTGGATGACGGGCGAATGCGGATGCCAAGGAGGAGGAGGAGGAGGAGGATGAGGAGGAGTAGGAGTAGGAGGAGGGGTGATGATGGTAAGAATTATGAAGAGGGTGGTAAGGATGGAGGAGACCTGTGACGTTGACGGGAACGGGCCTTAAGCCGAACCAACGTGCTCGCACGACATCGAACGCGCCCGAGCACGAGCCCTCTTCGAAGGTCTGGACGGACGCGTCGTGGCTTCGCCCCTAGCTCGCACCCATGCAGGGTCGGCCTTCCCGAGGCCAAACACGAAAAGCGTCCAAGACTTGCTCGCGGACAGCAGGGCTCCGCCGGACGCACGACTGGATGGACTGGCTGCCCTCGGGATGCCCAGGACCTCCCAGCGCCAGAGAATCGACCAGCGCCCGACGCTCGACCAGAGAGGGCATTCGTGAGGCCCGAGGGACAGCCATCTGACGCCCTGTTCCCGTGAAAAGAACTCCGACCGACGAAGCCACCTCGACCTGATCGCTCAGGCCCCCCGGGCAAAGTCGACGGGGGACGCGAGCTCCTCTGGAGGGGCTTTTTCCAAGACAGAAGAACAGCCACGCCTGCAACGGAACTGGATTTGACCCTTCGGGGAGCCGCGGTTATCAAACACACGTGCTGCTTGAAAAGCGTGTCCGCTGACGCGAAAGACCTAAACCGAGAAAGTGCTGTGTTCCTCCCCCCTTCGGACGGCTATCCTCGGGCATCGCATGGCTCTGCGGGTCCTCGGCAGGAGCAGCTGCGGCAACGGCAAAGGTCGGCTGAGCCTCGAGCCCACCCGTGCTCTTGACAGGCGCACCCGATATTGACACCCCCAAATGTCGCCGCCCATCGTACTGCGTCCGCTGCAAGGCTGCGCAGGCCACGCCACAGAGGCACACCTTCCCCCGTGCGACCATGTGCGTCGACTCCTAATCTTGCACACGTGTCGGCGTACTGGATCTCTCGCTGCCCCCAAAGACTCGCGCGCCCAGCATCGACGTCGGTGACCGTCGCGTGGGCCAAAACCTGTTCGCAAACGAGCCCCAGGAGCCCCTGGGTCGTCGGAGTAGACTGGTCACTTGGTCAAGGCGTCGGTTTTGGACTGATAGCATTTGTTCAAATGAAGCACGGGCACCGCGTAGCCCCCCCCGCCCCATCCTTATTAATCAGCTGTGGGGCGACACTCACTGGAAGTGGGCCGTATGCAGCCGAGATTCGATTGCCAAATCTGTCCACGCTGCAAATCGCCCAGCAAGCCCTGAATCTGCCCAGAAACCAAATCCACATGGCCGAGCCGTCAAGAAACAATATTCCTGAGAGAGCACTCGGACCGGGACGATTACACCACAAAGCAGCCTCCTTCAACCTCATAGAGCTCGAACATTGAGTCGGGGAGATAGGCCTCCTGCAAGCCTCTCACTCATGATGGGTCCGCGCTGCTTCACACGAGCAGCGCATCTCATCAGCATGGCTCCCGCGCGATCTCGTCGAAGGCTGGCGTGCGCAGGGCACTCATAAGGACGATGGCATAGCATGCAAATAACTCCTCGGCAGACCTGCCAATCCTCTTCGCTGTGCAGCCCGCGACTAAACTGACGAGCCTGCGGGCAGCGGACAGTGGGCCACAGCCTCTCAAACATCGTTGGTAGTGCTTGGTGCAGACCTAACTCTTACAGCGGAACAGCGGGGACACCCCGCCCCAGAAGATCGGGGAAACTGGTTGCCAGTCTGGACCAGTCTGCATAAAAAGGGCCCCAAACAGCTCCCTGACGAACCACATCCCGAATCTGAATAGGTGCTAACCGAAGGAGTTGTACTCCACCACCATGTCGAAACTGCGTGCGCGAAAAAGCCAATAGAGCAACGCCAACTGAAGATGGGGCCGACCGCCACGGGTGGACCACATTCAGAAGCTTGCTGCTGGCGTGGCTGAGAGTGCTGGTCAGGACCTGCGCATTCGGCACCTGTTCCCAGACAGCCGCCGTGCACATAGAGATCACATGCCCTACATACACCACCAGAGAATTCATCTTGGCGCCAGGGTCGCATGTGAACAACCTGAAGCCTACTGAGGCGCCTCTGGGAAGCCTGCCTCGTGAGCTCGACGCCCAAATGCCAAGGCCCGCCATCTTTGCCGGGGCCAACCCAGAAGCACCAGAGCCCCACAGGGCCACTGCCGTGGACCCCATACGATGCACCATGGTAAGGTCAGCTCCAGCCCCCCTGCAGCATCTGAAGCCTCCGCCGAGACCGACAAGCTGCCATAGATCGCCTAGTACTGCGGATGCTGACCATCCTGGCTAACCCCAGAGCTGCATCGGTTCCCAATGTCTTCGTGGCGTCCGATCTGCAAGTCGAAGGCGAGGACCGAAGCCGTCGCAGGTGTGCGTGGACCGCCTCCGTGCAGAGGTAACCGCACTTCTTTTCTACTCCACTGGTAGTAGCAAGTCCCTAAACGTCTTAAACAAGAAGTCGACTTATCCCGCTAGCTGCTGTGCTGATTGCAAATTTGGCCCATAATTCTGCAGCGTGATGTCGTCGACTATATCACGCTTGTACAGCTCGTGCCTGTGCCCACGAGCCTCCAGCAGCGGGCCTGGGCCTAGCAACACGACCTTCGCGAACGTAGTGGCTCCTGAGCAGCTGGCCATGATCGTGTCGTTTGCTGTCGCTACCTTCGAGGTTGCCCCACCGTGGAGGAAGCATGCGGAAGCCAGTGATACCACCATACCTCCCAGGAAGCCCGAAAGGGGGAAAACAAGGGAAACGCAGCGGTATGCGTACCTTTTTCTCTTCCGACTGACGGAGAAGCCGAACCGCTTGGCCGGCGAAAGCATGTGCTCTCGAAGCTCGTGGGGAGGGAACAGGTGGAGGGCGGAACATCCACCCCGATCAGAACCGCCCCGACGCGCGAAGCCGTTCGGTAAACGCACCCAAAGAAGGGATCAACAAGGGCAGGGCTGTTCGGTAAACGCCCCGGGCCGTGTAGCAAACGCCACTTGTCGGGCCCGGGTGGTTTTCTTCCTCCCTTGAGAACAGAGGGGATTACAGTCGGGGCGTTGACCCAAGGAACCCTAAATAAGGAACGAGGCCCCTTTTTCCCATCAGTTCAAGTTCGATTTCCCATCGGAAACCTAAGAAAAACCCGAGGCAAATTTTGAAACAATCAAGGAACACGGAGCCCCTCCCCAACAAAAATGGTTCCTTCTTCAGCGACCCGACTGTATAGGGAGCCAGCGCGCACCCTCAGCGCGGCGGCCGTCCCCTTCGCGGGACGGGCCTCGGCCCCAGGAGCGCACGAGTGCGCCCAGCGCTTCCGAGGCTCGGGGCGCCCGACCTCCGAAGTCGCCGATGTGTACCCCTGGAGGCCCGGGGAGGGGCCCCAGCACCAGAACAGGGGGTGTTGCCTCCACAGGGGGGGGAATGATCCTGGATTTCGGCGCTGGTGGTGATACTTCGGCCACCTTGGAAGCCAGAAAATTACCACCATCACCGAGATCAGGATCTTCTTCCCTCGGTGGAGGCACACCGCCGAAATTGGTGTTGGTGTCAACCTCTGGGCCTGCGATACCCCCTCCCAGACACATCTGTCCGCGACCTCCTGTCAGGCGGATGGTATCGAACGCGCACCTCCTCGGTCATCTGCTCGCGCACCAGCTCCCAAATGTGTACGCGACGTGCCCACGATGAGCCTTCCCCGCGCATGGGCGGCGTCACGCCGTTGCAACATCTCTGCCTGAATCGACCCGGTCATGCAAACGAGGTCTCCGTGCCCAATCTTCGGGTTCCAGCGTCAGGCGTTTGATCGGGGTGGTTCGTTGGTCTGGCACGTTGCCTCGGGCCGTTGGGGAAAGATGCAACACACCCACGAGCAGAAAGCAACGATAAGAACCAACATGTGTGGAAGGCGGATCATCTCACCGAACAAGTTACTGCCCGCGCCTCTCTCTGTCGATTACTCAGACATCACCATTGCACTATGCTCGTCTCGAGGTGCTCCCCGTCTCTTTTTGCGGGTACTCGAGCCTGGCTTCCGAACAGCAGCGCGGCAAACAACATGCGGCCGACCAGACGGAGCCGTGAAGTCAGCACATATGTGGCTTGTAGCTCTGCCGGTTTGCTCATACTGCGTTTTCGACCAATCTCTATTACATGACCGATCTCCTCAACGCGCGAACGGTCGACACACATATGTGCGCCCAAGCGCTTCATAACACACTCACGAAGTGCAGTCCACTTGACAGTGTCCCCAACTTGAGCTCAAGCGGCGTTGGGTCGGTCGCACTCCCACGTCGTATTGCCGATCAGGCTGTGGTTTCCTACATAATTATCCAATCCGCGCTGCGAAGCTGCTGCGCGCACGTCCGACACCGTGAGTTTGACATTTGATCCGTCGAAGGCTTGCACCGATAAGCATCCCATGCCCAGCACCTCGCAGGTTCGTTTACCTCCACTCATTGCCCACTTCATCTTATAACCCATACTGTCTCGCTCAAACATCCTTTAAATCGGTGGACGCGTCCTCTGGCACAGCGTCGGATAAAAGAGCTGAAAGGGCTCGCCCTGCTTCAGCCCTAGCAGGATGTGGCACGGCTTGCTCAACCTACCTGTGCGCACCCGGGGCGCCTGGTCGGAATACAAGCCTCGCAGCGAGCGCACGTGCCCACCAGGAACGCCTTGCATGGAAAGTGCTCGGCATAGACCCTCGTGCTACACGCAAGCATGCGTGTCCTTGAAGTCTTGTGCAGCCACCCGCAAGCTCTGCTGCCACGCATGGCGCTTTCTCTGGAGCGGCGTGACCGCGAAGAGGGCTGGAGACGAGGGACCCGGGGCGAGGGGGAGGAGTAGGAGGCGGGGGATGAGGACGAGGCCTGGGAGGAGGCGCGAGGGGACGAAGCGGCGAGGAAGGCGAGAAGGAGGCGAAGAGGATGGCAGGCCTGACGGGCATCCAGCCGGGCCCCCTGGCCTTCGCGAACCTGCCCCGGCCCTTGCCGGCCCACTCCGCGCGTGGCCGCAGCGAGCTTGGCCGCGACGCGCTCCTGCGAAGGAGGACGGGGAAGAGGACGGGGAAGGGTGGGTGGGGGGAGAATCGCGAGAAAGGGGGCGCGCGAGGGGTGGCGGTTGGGTCGCGGCGCCAAGCCCCCCCCCTTCTGTTAGGTCGGGCATGTCCTCCTACATGCGGATTTGGTGTTAAAGATAAAAGATACCACCACAATGCCTCCAAATATGCAAAAACAATCAACAAATTGTCCCCAGACTATCTTTTTATGGTATTTGGGGATACCCCTCCTGTAGAGGGACAGGCCCGACTCAACCCTTTCCTTCCGCGACGACCCCCCCCCCGCTGCCCCGTGGTGCGCGGGGCAGGATGGCCACGGGAGGGCTTCCTGCAGGGCCCGCCCCCCCCCCCCCCCCTCCAGAGAGGGCAAGCGAGCGTGCGGGGCGGAACGCGGCGACAAGGCCGCTCCTGGCTCTCCTCTGCTCCTGCGTGCCCGCGCGCTTCCCGTGGGCGTCCGACTCTACACCTCCCGCGGTGACCTCCTCGCTCGCGCGCCCCCCCTCTGACAGGTGTGATAAAAGTGTGACCACAAAACAATTGTCTTTGTTTTATTGCACTTGTTCGGCCCTCTCCTCCTCCTCCTCCTCCCTCCTCCTCCTCCTCCTCCTCCTCCTCCTCCTCCTCCTCCTCCTCCTCCTCCTCCTCCTTGTTCTTTTATCACACTTGTTTTTGTGTCCCCCCCCCAGTGAGAAGGGCGCCCCCTTGGCCCCGGGCCGCAGAGC